AGGATGTTTATGCAGAAAAAAAGACGCCCCGTATTTCAGGGGGATGAAAGTAAGGTCGATTTTGGAGGCTTTTTAAAAATACATATTTTATTAATTTTCTAGTTTTACAATCATAAGTACTTAATAAGCAACGTGTTGTCTGAGTCCATTAGTAATTCAGTGGTACATATTAACTTCTTCAATCTAGGCCCAATATTACACCATCCAATGCTTCTTCTCTTTGTGAGTTCACAAGAAATGTACATGTTGTAATTTTCCATTTCTGCGAAAGGAATCGGCATATAGAGGCACGTAGCTAAGGTATTTTTAGGAAAAGAGATGTGGTAAGCTGAGGAATAGAGAGAAACTACACACACTGACTTAAAGCATACTTTAAGAATAGTGCACACTATTGTAGAATAGCATATAGCTTATGAATAACATATTATCCAGGTTTATTCTTTATAAAAACTGCCTAGAGTTAGTATTTTAAAGTATAACTATGAACCAAAGTGCAGCCATGTTTAAGTGAAGCATAAACTCTGTTACACACATAGCTTTTAGATGAAAAGCAGGCACTCTTATAGATAAACAAGGGAAGACATAAATCTTTTATAATTGAAATTATCCAGTTTGGGTAACAGTTCACCTTGTAGATAAGGCTATATCCTTAGTTAGCAGGGTGTTACAAATCATGCCACAGAAAAGGGAGTCAAGATAAGACAGGAACAAAAGGGTGCTTTTTGATCTAATAATTGGAGGATTTGGTAATTGTAATGATTGCTAGGCGGTCGGAAAGCATGTGACCGGGTGGGCCTATCAACTGGGCTCACTTTGGAAGGATGTGGCGTGATGCACAGGACAGGGTATAAAAACCTATGCAAAAATTGATTCAGGTGTGGACTCTTGAAATTTGCCATTACCAAGAGTTCCACCAGCTTTTGCAAAAGCTTTAATAAAACTTGTTTTGTTTTCCAACACCCTTGGAGTTGAATTTTTATTCCTCATAATATACAATTGAATATCATTTGTATATACCATTTTCTTGAGCACAGGTTCTCCTCAGGGTTGTGTCCTAAGTCCGCTGCTGTTCACCCTGTTGACCCATGACTGTAGTGCTAGGTTTGCCACCAACCATATTGTGAAGTTCGCGGATGATACAACAATAGTGGGCCTTATTCGTGACGACAATGAGGGTGCTTACCGCAAGGAGGTTGAGGTTTTGATAAACTGGTGTAAGGAAAACAGCCTAGTTTTAAATACTGGAAAATCTAAAGAGATCATTGTCGATTTCCGAAAAGGCAGAAACAGCCACACTTCTCTGTGCATTAATGATTCACCTGTGGAGATGGTTACCAGCATCAAATTCCTGGGTGTGCAGTTAACAAGTAGGCTGGCTTGGTCGCTCAACAGCGAGACACTGGTGAAGCGGGCACAGCGGCGCCTGCATTTTCTGCGTCGCATGAGAAAAGCACATCTTCCTTCCCCTGTCCTTACCACTTTCTACAGAGGGACAATCGAGAGCATCCTGTCATACAGCATCACAGTCTGGTTTAGAAGCATTGCTGCTTCGGACAGGAAGGTGGTCCAGAGAGTGGTGAGGATGGCTGAAAAGATTATTGGCAGTTCCCTCCCTTCCACCCAGGCATACTGTATGGCATATAAGCATTGCTTGAGCACGATCCGCAAAATTGTCTGGGACACTACACATCCTCTTCACAACCTGTTTTCCTTGTTACCTTCTGGGAGGAGGGGGCTCCGTGCTATCTGAAGCAGAACATCCAGATTCAGCCACAGTTTTGTTCCATTCAAATATTAACCTTGTAAACTCTAAGTTTCCTCCTTCCATTATATATTCAAGATGGACAGTGATTAATATTTATATGTTACTTATATGTAAGGGTGTAGGTCTATACATATCTTGTATATAGTATGTTTTCAATGTGTGTTATGTATGTATACACTTTGAGAGGAAGCAGCTAAATCTCATTTTTACTGTGTGCCATTGAGCCCACAGGAAAAAAAATGACAATAAAAGTTATCTGATCTAATCAACTTCTTTGTTACATTTTCCTAATAATATCAATAATGTTGGTTTAAAATATCTTTTCTATCCAAAATATATCTTAATTGTATTTGCACTTAATATCCGTTTGTTCAATTAATATCCTGTTTTTCCCGCTTTTTAAAAAAAATTTAATTTCCCATCAGTGTTCAAAATGTCTTTATCGCTTATGATTTCTCATAATAAGTTATATTTGGGTAACAAAAACCTTCCCTTATTCAAACCCTCTTAGCATTTTCATATTTCCCTTCTCATACCAAAATATAATATTCTAGTTACAAATCCTATCTTTCTAGTTATAATAATACTTCTATTTCTAACAATGTGAATGCTCCAACACTGGAAGTTTTTAAGAAGAGACTGGACAGCCATTTGTCCGAAATGGTATAGGGTTTCCTGCCTGAGCAGGGGGTTGGACTAGATGACCTCCAAGGTCCCTTCCAACTTTACTACTACTACTACTACTACTACTACTACTACTACTACTACTACTACTACTACTA